ATGTAACTGTGTTCTCAATGCTGTTTAAACACGGCACATTCCTCCAAAAGTGAGGCATGCTTTCAAAGGGGAAAAATTAACATTAAATTTATTTATGAAATGTAATGACTGAAACTTTTATAGCTCTGAGATCATTAGTTTTCTCTTTCAAGTGTTAAAAAATATAGACTTAGTAATGCCAGGAATTAAACAGCACCAAGATTACTTTTTTTTTTAATAATTTTAAATCAGCATTTTGTTATTCTTGTTTACCTCACTTTTCAAGCCAGTCTGGCAGGAAACCATTTTATCCCAGTGCATTTTATCAGTACAGTATGGCAGAAGCACGCTGAAGTAGGCAGTTCCTATTCTTACATCTATCATGGCAAGAAGGCCTTGGAACACCAACTCACCACCCTCACCTAATTAAACTTCAAGCCATTTTGAGCTGCACCAGCCCACACTTTGTAGTAAACTGAAAGGGAATATTTTCAGTAGAGCTGCTAAACACAGAGCAAGAGCCACAGAGTCATCAGATTGCTCCTGGTAGCTCATTGCTTAAGGACAATGTGTGAGAAGGGAGAGCCCAGGATCTCAGTGATAAATAATGCCTGGCAGGAGGGCTCAGTGGCCCAGGGACTGCAATTTATCCAACAGCAAATTGTTAATCCTTGCAAGAGAGGACAGATCCCATTAGGAAGGTGCAGCCAAAAGTCTTGCCAGTGCCTTTTGAGCACAGGCTGCAGTGGCAGGGGGCAAAAGGAGCCACCTGGGAAGCTCTGCCAGTGGCACGGCTGAGGGATGTGTGCCACTGCTCACAGTGCTGGCACAGCTGCACCCTTCATGCTGAGGCTCCTTCTGCTTTAAAACCTGAATTTTGCTTTATGTAAATATCCATATTTAATATATCGACCCTAAAGCGTTTCACTCCTTCCGGGTCTTCCAGGAGGTTCTCCAGTGACGTGGCCCATTTCGAGGTCCCTTTCAAGGTTTGATGGCTGCTGCTGGGGTGGCCCTCACCATCATTTATCTCTGGAAAAAGAATAAAATGAACAAAACAGCATCTTCTTTAGAAAAAGGTAAGCATCAGCCACGTGGATGTCTCCCCCATTTCCCCTGCACTCCTGATTTCAGCTGCTCTCTGTAAAGGAAACGCCACAAGAGTGGAAATCAACACACACACACACACACACACACACACACAGACACTTGAATTCTGCTTTGCCTGTAAGGAGGCAAAAATTCCTTACAGCCACATAATTCACGAGCATGTAAAGAGGCACTGTCACTGCTTTATAGGGCTTCAAGCACCTCCTGCCTGGGGAATACAATGAGCACAGTCCATATTTTGCTCTGGCACTGTCAACAAATGTTGGCTTCTCTAAAGCAACTTATGGCCAGTCACACACGTGAAATTTATTTTTAAGGACAGAATCATCACTGGAAGCTGGATGCTCAGTAAAAGCAGAGAGAGAAAGAAAAATAATGGTTTGTTTAGCAGGAGAACCAGTCCAAGATATTAATCCAGTGCAATGGGAGGAAAGACACCCAGCAGAAGAGCATCACTCCAGCTGAGTCAGACAGGTTTTGGGCAAGAGGGTGATTTTACTCTTTGCTTCCAAGCCCTGAAATTCTTTTATAAGGTGCAGTGGACTGTGCCCACGTCTGATCTGCCAGCCAGCCTTCTCACAGACAGGACAGATGGAATGCAATTCCTATTTTCTCTATGCCAGGAACAAGTGCATTTCATTCAAGGCTGGTGATGGCAAAAAGCCCCATTTGCTAATGACCCTTCAGAAAACCTATTATTTGGAACAACTCCAGGAATGCTATTGCCCATCTGAAAAACTCTAACACAGACATAAAGTGCTCAGCATCCTCTCCTCCAACACACAAAATGCCCTGGGAACACAGGGGGGAAGTCAGAAGGATAAGAGCTGCACTTCAGGTCACTGTGCACTGGAGAGATGCACAAAACTCTTACTGCAACCAGTAGAGCTTCTATTTTTAACTCTTTCATTTCTCCTTTATCAACTCACTGGAAATCTGGATCTGGTTCTGCTTAAGCTCTGCTTTTAAAAACCCTTCTTTCACCATGAAACTAATCCTCACTAAGTATCTCAAAAAACTCTCTATGCAGAAATACATATATATATATATATATATTTATATATTAATACACACAAGCAGATGCCCTTTCCAGCTGGTGACTGGAAATAAAGCTGAGGTTAAAGCCTTACAGAATATTGGCATGACAGCAGAAGCTCCTGAGCTTCAGCTGGTCGGGACCTGTGGACCCTGTTTGTTTTACCAACTGCTCTAAATGAATGAACATCTCTCCTGCCTTGATAGGGAGGGGATTTTGTTTTAAAAACTCTCTGTTAGCTTAAAGGTGAGGAGCCAGAACCTAAGGATTGTGTTCAAACCACAGCTGCAGCCTTCACATGTGACAGGAGCCCAGCGAGCTAACGCTGCCTCACTTTGCCCCCCTTGGTGCAAAAGGATGTGGTTCTTGATTAGCACTTGAAAAAATTGTTTCAGAAACCTGACTCAAAGTATTTGGGCATCTAATCTCAGTCAAATCCGTGAGATTTCAGTGGGAATGGCCAAGTGTATTGCAGCAGAGCACAAAAGCCTGTGAGGAGCTGGGATGTGCAGCTGTGTCCACGCTCACCTTGGAGCAGGATGCAGCCCTGGGTGTGCAGCTGCTGGAGGCTGCAGGGCCAGGCCATCCCCTCACTCACCATGGTTTAGCACACAACAGAAGGGGGCAACATTTGATTTCCAGTGTTTCTTTCCAGCCAAATCTGAGGTGGACACTAATGATGACTTTGAAAGGCATGTGTTTCAATGAGCCAATGCAGACCCAGACCCTTGAAAACCTAAAAAAAAAAAATCTGGTAAACAAAGGCCAGAATAAATCCTTCCAGAAACCCAGGATACATCAATCTGCTTATCTTCTACTGCTTTGACTCCCATTTTACTGCTGGCCATTCTCTATCCTCCTCGATCATCATTTCCCCTATTTTCCTCTCATTTCCAGCCTACCCAGCACAGCCCAACTCCACTCTTCCCTTTGTGTTCTGCCCCCCCTCCTCCTTGTCAACCTCCAAACCCTGCTCCCTCTATTCCCCTTTTCCCTGCACTCTCCTCCTACAGCCTTAGCTTCAAAACCAAAATTTGCAAAACCAAAATTTGGTTTTGAAGGGAGGACCTACATGAAATCTTCCTAGCGTCCATTCTGCTGAGCCTTCTGCTGAGATCGCTATAACTCAATTTATTTCCTCACTTAACCAGCTCTCCACAACCCAAAAAATATCGTGGTACAGAGACAAGGGTTGTCTGTCCATTGCAAGCCTTCCATTTACCCCTTGACTCATTTATTCCATTTATCCCTTTCCTCATATATTTAATTTATTCCTTGCCTCATTTATGCCCCCAGAGCAGAGGCTGAGGGATGTCTCAGGTGCTGGGCAGCTCTGGGTGTCACCAGAGGTGCAATTCCAGCTCAGCCCAGCCTACAGCTCCCAGCACTGCCCATCCCAAGGCTGGGGACACCAGGCTGAGCATCATTAATCCCAATGTCCAGAGTTCCTCTGCAACCACCATGAAACATCAACATTCCCCTTCAGCACAAACAGAAATAGGCTGCACATTATAGTAGGAAACACCCTGAAATTTTATAAGGCTATTAAAACTGCTGGGTGTTTTTATTATATCCCATTAAATATGCCATCACCAACATTTATTCTAATACAAAATTGCCCCGACACCCCCTCAGTCAGGATCATAACTTCCCGCTCCACATGCTGGTTTCATGTAGCAGATTTAATATGTGATTTTCACAATTTTTTTAAAAGACAGGAAAGAGGTTTTCCCCACAAATGACTCCAGAAGTGCAAATTAATCAGTCTGAAACAATTCATTTGAGGTGGAAATACAGCAGTGTAGTTACATGAATGATCCTCCTGACACCAATTTATCTCTGATATTTTTAAAAAGACAACTTTCTCCTGTTAAAATCATCTGCTGACAAAGTTAAGTAATATAGCCTTGGAAACAACAAGCTTGATCCCATTTTTTAACTAGAACCCAAATGTACATATATTTGTATGATCATTTAAATGAGGAAGGCAGACATTTGCTGTTACTAAAAAGTGGGAGATAATTTTGTGCATCACAAAGGGCATTACAAAATGGCAGTTCTCCCACCAATATTTCTGTAAAAGTAACACGCAGAATGCACATCAGATGCTAAATAAACCAACTACGTTTCTTATTTCTTACATCACAGTACATTTATTGCATTATAACATGGTAATTACATTTCAGAGCAGAGCCTGCTGTTACATGGGTTGGAAAGCAAGAGGAGAGAAAGGCAGCGAGGCACGCAGAGCAGAGCACAGTTGTAAGAGTTTCTGCTGGAGCAAACTTTCCACTGAGTTGGAAATCTGCTCCAGAGACACATCAGCTCTCACAGCGTGCAGGGAGCAGCCAGCTGCTCCTACCAACGCAGCAAATGATTAAGTGCTTCTTTTAGCAGCACCATTCTTCAGAGGCACTCCATGCTAAGCCAGCAGACAGGCAGTTGCGCTAGCTGGAGCATTTTTTTAGAGGGAAACCTCGCAGAAGCTGCCTTCCCATCACACAATGGCACTGCAGCAGCAGGCTGCAGATAAAGGCTCTTTGTGTGTGGCAGAGCGGTACATGCAGCACTAATTATCAGCTGAAGAGTGCTATCAAAAATGCCAAATATCTGCACCCTCCAAACAGGAACTTGGACTGAAATCCCAGGAGGCATCAATACCATCAATATATACAACTTTGCAGGTCAGAACTCACAATCCTGGCCCTTGTTTCTGACAAGCACGAAGAGAAAAAACCTGCGGGAGCCCATCAAGCTGAGTGATTCAGACACGGCTAATTGAGTTAGCCATGCTGATCACTCTGCCTTCCAAAGCACTGCACACTCCAGCCCTTTCCCAAGCTGCTGCCACTCTCCAGCTGTTGATACCGTGGCCTTTGTGGCAGCATATCGGGCAGCACAGACTCACACCCTTCACAGAATCCTGCCCAGCACATCCCTTCCCAGCGCCTGTGCTGCCCATCTCCTTCCCGCACACTCCTTCTGCACCCTCCCTGACAAACAGCAGCCAAACACTCACAATGACAAAAGCACCATGCAAACAGCACATTCCTCACTCCGTATTTAAGCATGGATGTACAACAGGAAAAGCTTCTTCCATTTCTTTTTGAAGAACTTCTCACCAGTCGTCCCCTCATCCACCTGGATCATAAATCCGCAAGCCATGAGTCTTTATTATTACTTTAAAAGCACTCTGTATACCTTGTCTTGTCCTACAGTCATCAGAATGCCTACCCAGCAACAATCACCAGTCTGGAATTAATAAATCCAAGGTATGAAGCAGTGGGAAACTTCATAAGCAAGCAGCTGAAAAGGGAAAATCCCCTTACTTTCCATGTATCCAAGCACCAGCAGATGAATCCTCACACAACAATTTTTTCCTAGTATCAGCTGAATTTTAGAGAGCTGTCCTTTGAATGCGTGGGGTGTTCAGAGCACGAGCTTCAACATCCTCTTTTGACTGTCTCTAGCAACAGATGGCTACTGGATTCCACATTTAACTATAAGGAAGGAAACTAAAGGGACGTTCCTCTTTTGTAGCATCTCTGGAAGTGTTCACCAGACATATAGCCTTTAAAATATACCCCCTTGCCGCCTCTCCTCCCCCCCGCCCAAAAAAAAAAAAGAAAAACAAAAAAAAAAACCAGAAAACCCAAACAACTCTAGACAAAGATCTCACTTGGCTTTTCTTAGAACGATTGCAACTTCTTCCTGCACACCGTAAAACACAGTGTTATTTTCTAGGATTTGGAGGTTGCAAGAGTTGCTCCAAATGTCTCAGCAGTGACAGATATCACCCCGCGGAACCCACAGCCTCGCAGCATCGGGGCTACAAACCACACAGCCGCGTTACACCGCCTGTCTGCAGAGAGAACCGCGATGCCCTACGTTATTACTGCTCGGAAATCTCCATCCCAGCTTGAAACCTCCAAAGGCAAACTCCTCAGAGTCAATTTGGAGTTCGAACAACCGCGCTCGGGCCCCGGTAAGGGCAGCAGCTCCGACTGAAACTTGTCCGCCGAGGCGCAAGCCCGAGCAGAGCCCGGTTCCCCCTTCCGCGCTCGGCGGGCAGCGCCCCGGGCATTCCGCTGTGGGGCGGAGGGGCCGCCGAGCAGCCGCGGCCTCGGCCCCGAGCACGGCGGGGCCCGGGGAACGCCGTGAGCCCCGCGCTGTCCCCGGCGGGGCCGCGGGCAGCGCAGCCCGGCCCGGCGCTCGCCCGGGGGTCGCCGCCCCGTCCCCGTTACCTGAGGGCGGCCGCTTCCTGCTGAGCCGGCTCACGGCCCGGTTGAACATCCCGGGCGCCGCTCGGCCCCGCTGCCGAGCCCGAGGGCGGCCGCGCTGCCCCGCCCCGGCCCGCCCCGGCCCGCCCCGGGAGCGGCGCCAGCCCCGCACCTGCCCCAGCGCAGCCCCGCGGGGCCCGGCCCGGCACCTCCGGGCACCGCCGGGGATTCGCCCCCGCGCACCTTCCCCTCCTCGCTCAGCCCCACCGCCCCCGCTCTCACAGCGCTGCTGTCCCGCATCCCGCTCATCCAGCCCTCCTGGAACTCTTCCTGTCCTCAAGCAAACTGCTCCTGACACCGCGCTCGGGGACACGGGATGGCACTGTCCCTATGCCCGCCCGGCATTAGCCACCAGCCACCCTCCTGGCTTTGCTGTAGCCACCTCGGAGCAGGCGCAAGAAGCAGAAACACTTCCCCAAGATGGGCACCTTCATGAACTGTCTCACAAAAGACACCATGCTTTTTGTGTTGGAGTGGCTCCTTTGCTCTTCCAACACTTCGAAGGACAATTATTTCTGAATATAAAAGCGCGATTGCAATTTTAACAAACATACTTTCACTTTCATAAATAACGTTTTTACCAACGTATTTGTTCTAAAATCCAGCATGTGAGAAGTTTGTGTAATTCTGACAAAGCTGTGAGCCATCAAACAGACAATTACCTCAGCAAACAGTAGTGGGAGTCAATGGGAGCACTTAAGTCCCACTGGAAATATCACCAGTACACAAAAAATTACAAAAACCACTGCTAGCAGACAAGTCAACAGTTGTTTTATTTCCACCTCAGCCAAATCCCATCCTGAATGCACAGTAACACATTGCTAAGAAGCTCCGTTCACAGAGGGAACTTGGACGGGCTCCCCATCTCACTGAAAATTATGGATATTTTCCATTTATATGCACAAGGCCAAGATCTCATTCCTGGGAACTGGTGACACCAGAAGACTGAACAGAAGAATCAATTGCATCTGTGCTTCCAAAATAAACAACAGCACAATACCTTCCAGCTGAAGGGATTTGGCCTGCACCCCCTGGACCTCTGCCTTCGGCACTGGGGCCAAAGGCTGTGTTAGCTGGTAATGATTTCTTGGCTTTTGGGGTGGATTAAAAAAATATAAAAGTTTGCTGCTCTGCTGAGGGAACTGCTCAACAGCTGCACGTGGTGTTTCCAGGCAGATGTGTGAGACAGGCACAACATCTGGGACATAACTGGAAATTCCATGCAAGCATCAGAAGAGCAGGCAGGGTGTAACAGCCCAACAGCAGCAGGGCCCGGCTGGCACAGCTGGGAGAGGTTCAGCACGTGGAGAGGGCACCAGGGAAGGGAGCAGGGGGCAGGGTGGGAGATGACAGCTTGGACGTGCACTTCCCAAAGCTTTTTTTAGTGCTATCCACTAGTGCCAGGTATTCCAGGCAGAACATTTACACTGAAGCAGTACAGACATGACCAGATTTTATTTTTCTTTCAGAATCAGGTCACAAAGCCCAAAGTTTCTATTCTAAGTCTTAGCAACTCATACTCCTAGGACAACTACATAATCTTTGAGCCAGTGTACTGACAAGAAGTTACCAGATTAGCTTTAAGACTTAAATTAAGGACTCGGGGCTGAGGGAGTACGTAAGAGCTGTGAGAATGTTTGGAGGTCAGATTGTGCTCATGGTGCGTGTGCTGGTGTCTCCAACAGACTCAAGAGACTTCAGCTCTTTGTCCATCCATATAACGGGACACCTGACCTACAGATCTGCCACAAAAGAACTTCAGGAAATTTTCCCGCTGGGTGAATTCAGTGGAGATTTTCAGGCATGGTTCATTTGCTGGTGTTTTTGTATCCTTTTCCACAAATAAGCTGCAATACCCATATATAGCAAATTATGATTTAATTAGAACTGTGCCAGTGTCCATATGCCACATCTCCACCTTTTCACATTGATTTTTAGACCTTGCATGACATTTTTACCAGCTTTTCCTTAATTTCACAAGGCAAGATTTCCCTTAAAAATGAACCCACACACGTTTCACAACCCCTGGCTGCAGGCCAGGCAACATAGTGAGGATGGTGTGCTCTGAGTACTTACCACACCTAATGAACTGGGTACCATTAAAACTGAAATCTGGTCATAGTCAAGTGCCCTTAAAAGCGACCCTGAAAGCTTTTGTGAGCCTCCTTCTGCTCCATTCTGCACATGCATGACTTGTTAGCACACAGGGCGAGAGCAAGCCTTGGGTTGCTCATCATCCCAAACCAGGGCAGCTTTTTGAATTTGGATAAAATTCAGCAAATTTCCTACTGACACCTGCAGGAACGGGTATGAGTGTATTTAGGGGGAAAGAGAATGTGCAAGACACCCAAAAAGGTAGACACACGCTTGATAATGTGATTTCAGACAAAGATTCTATTTTAAAATTTGACTTGTATTCTGAAGAGTAATTTTACTTACATTTAAATAGCTGGATTTGAAAAGAAATTAAATGAGTTGTGCTTAGCTGTTGCCATTGCAAAAATCTATTCTGGAACATGCTGAGCTATGAATAACACCACAGAAAATTCATAAAATGCACAGCTCATTTCAATGCCAAATTGCGTTGAAAGACTCAAAATTAATCAATAGACTATGAGAACCCCAACTCATGATTTAAACGTGATTTCATTTACATCCATATAATGCAACTGATTTCAGTAGAGGTGGAACTTACTTATGTGATTATAAGAACTTAAAATTAGAAATGTCAACAATGAAGAGAGGAGGCCTTCAAAGTAGGAAACTCTCTTTCTCTGAAAAAAATCCCAGCCCTTTAGAATCACCTTCAGACTTTAAAAGGTTAAGAGTAGAAAATAAGACTAGATACTGCACTGCAAACTGAACACTGGCCAGAAAATGAGGCATTTCCATCAAGAATTTGTGCACAAAAATCATACACTGTTCAGAGTATCACAGGTTCAATAAAAGCACATTTCAAACTTCTTCAGTGTTCATCTTAACGTCTTGATGTTCATGATGGGCTGGCAAACACGGCTTGAAAGCTTTTCCTTGCACATCAGCCAGTGCTGAAATGCACAGAGTATCATGCAGGGAGTCATTTCTGGGGTTTTTACCTAAATGCTTCAGCACAGACGTTTTCAGTTTCACCACAAAGCAACGAGTGACTGCCTGCTAGAACACAGCAGTGTGGTTAACCCTGTGGTTAATCCTTTCAGGGGAAACAATGGGACTGGATGCTAAAATCTGGGGTGGTTTTTCACAGTTCAAAGCCAGGGATCACTTCTGAGTTTTATTAACCTTAAATCAACAAACAATTTTTAGTTTCAAGGCAAGGTTTGTAAGTCTTAGCTAAATACAGTCACTGTCTGAAGATTCACAGATACCAGAGTGAAAGAGCAGATAATAAAAGGTTTTAATCTTTTAGTAAGATACACACAGAGTAAATCTAAACATAACCTTCCTGTAAGGTATACAGTATGAAACAGCATTGAGAATTCTTGAAGAAAATTATATTCTATTTCAGGCTTGCCTAAATAAATCAGGGGAATTCGTCCAGCACTCCTCACTTTGAACTCACAGAAAGCTCTGACTCACTCCTTTGCAATACTTTCTAGTATAAAGAGGTTCACAGGGTCAACTTTTATCCCTAATCTTGTGGAACATTCCTCAGTACCTCCAATCCAGCAGCTTTATGTGTGCCAAAATACAGACTGCAAAACTCTGGCAGTGAATTCAAACACGTAGAAACTGAATTACAGGCTGAATAACTCCAGTAGTGCTTCCACCTTACATTACTTCCACAACTTTAATTCTTCATAAAATGCACTCAGAAAAAAACACGAACACATTTCAAACCTTGAAATTTAGGTATGACTGATTTTTTTTTTTTACAGTTTTATGCTCTTTGCATCTGTCAGGGAAGAAAATGTTTCATTAGATTAGTAATAAATGCATATTTAAGTTTGATAACAGCCTTACTACTACACCACTCTTACTTGTTTTCTTCAACTTTATTCTATAAAGAAGAAAGAGTTGTATTTTCCTTTTATACTGCCTTTAAATATCGAAGGCAAATGCTAGTTTTTTTACCTGCAGGACTTAAACCCAGCTTTCAGAAAATAAAGCAGCACTATGAATTAAGTCTTGAGATGAAGAAATATGTTTTTCAATGAACAATTTCACAACAATAACAATCTTGACTTGGTAAAATATTCATATATTCAAGTAGAAATTAAGTAAGAAAACATCATCAAAATCTTAAAAGCATTCTAAGGCCTTCTGGACTGCATACAGGTAGAACTGACTGGGGGGTACAGTAAAGAAAACCCAGCTTTTGTGAAATGTTCAGTCTGGTATGGACCTGAAGATAAAAAAAAAAAAAAAAATACTTAACACAAGCTTTCAACACCCATCTATAAATACTAAAACAGGTATAGACAACAGAAATTAAGGATTTTTGCATTACAGGGGAATATTAAAAATGATACCTGAGGTCAGTGTTTCTGCTAAGAACCAGATGCAAATACAACAGACTTGTCTCCTGGTGCATGGAAAGCAAGTACAGCTCTGTTGACTAGAAACACAATTAAAGTGAGAAACACAGCAAAACAGGGTGAGGAAAATGAGTAAAGCATGGCCCTGAGAGTAACCGACTCAGAACTCACAATTCAAGCATCCACAGGCATTTTCAACAGTGACAATAACTACAAAGGAATGTCTGCTTCTACAGCCTCAGTAAACTCAGACCTACCTGGATCCCTCTAACAAGTATCTTGCATCTTGTCTTCCTTTTACTCAGAAGTCACTGACAGGAGAGACTCCAAAAATAGTTTTCAGTAAGGTTTAGCTGTAGAAGCATTTCAAGGAAACATCAAGTTCCAAGTCATGCAGCTTGTCAGACACTTGGCAATAGACACTGTGACCTTGGAACATGAATTCAAAGTAAAATGTCACATACCTTGGCAAATTTCTATGCACAAATCTTGTAGGACAGTTCCCGTGTTCTTCCACAAAAACCCACAGAACAAAAAGGTGCTGGAAGGAACTCTTTCAGAAGTCAATGTGAACACAGCGTCACCCCATGTATTG